AGCAGAGTATTAGAGAGGATGGTATAGGATAATAAATTCCCACGTGAATGGAAATCAAAAAAATGGGTGGCTCAAATTCGAAAGCATGTGAATGGGGGAATGCAAATGCTGACATAGATAATGCCTTTAGAATTACTTAAAAATCGACGCTTACAAACTGCAGCAATGGCGTCTATTAAATCCTCCGAATAAGAAAATAAGGACTTAAAATTTGTGCACCATTGCTGGTTTACAAAAACAGGTGCTCCACCACCTCTGCTGGATAAATATTTTCAATCCGTACGAAAACAGCAAAAAAGTCGGCGGTGTGATAAGTTGCGACTCAATATCATTATTAAGCCAAGTATCTTGAAGACATATAACTGCAGACTTACTGTGCTCCTTTTTCAACGTAAGTGCCGATAACTCGACACTCTTGTTAAAGAGCAATCTGCAATATTTCGACAAAAAACCTGGAAGAGACATTAAGTTCAATGTTTTACACTTCACTGCTTGTTACCATCCAGAACGACGTTTTGTTCCTCGTATGGTCATCCTACGGAGAGTTTTTGACGTTGATGAATTGCAAATGCGGCAACTTTGACGGTAGAGACAAAAGTTGGCATAATGGACTGTAGTGGGTAAAAAATAATTTGCTTTTGCGCATTCAGAGAAGTACCAGTGTACTGTAGAGATGACCTCGTGATCATAAATACAGAGAAATAGACGAGGTGGTATACAATAAGTTCCCATGTGAAATGAGAGGAAAAAAACCAGCAGCTCAAATTCGAAAGTTCGGGGTTGCCTGTTATCCGGATACCGAGATCTTTCTGCATTTCTACTTTTTTGAGTATAACTCAGTATATAAAGGAAATAGGCAGAGCCTTTGAAAACCCTATTTACAGATAGATGCTGTCAGACCAGGCATGTGGTTCAAAGCCATATATACATTATGTAAATCATTGTTTTCTACCAAGTGTATGCCAGCAAGTAAAGTATGAGTAAGCCTTCTTTTTAATGCGTCGACGCTTTCAGCAAGAACAACTGAGGAAGGAAGTTTATGATGACGAGTTTAAACACCATGATCATAACTCCTCTGTATTGCCAATAATAGAGAGGAAAAGACTGAGCCTATCTAGACGACCTTCATATTGGAGACCTCCTAAGCTGCTGACTAGCTTGGTCGCCCTTCTTCGGACTTTCTCAACATTGCGTAATCCTT